GAATGGTTATATCAAACAGTATAATTCTTGGTATCAGACAGGCTAATTCCTAGCCAAGTTCGATAACATTATCTATAATTGAGTCAAAAAAACGCTAGAGCTTTGAATTTGATATTGGAAATCATATAGCAAACTGGGTTCGTAGTCGGATTTGGAGGCGGATTTGGAGTTTGCACCAGAATCCCCTTTTTGGCCTATATGCTATTAGTTAAGATATATTATAAATTGGGATGGTGATTTTTCAGATTTTTACTAAGTTTTTTCTTTTTTTAATAGAAGTAGAATTTTTTTTTTTTAGTAGAAGTAGACTTTTTTTGCTATTAGTTAAGGTAAGTTTACAAATCAGGATGGTAGTTTTTTTAGATTTTTACTAATTTTTTTTCTTTTTTTTATTAAAAATGGATTTTTCTTGTTTATTGGCTAAGGTATGCTACAAATCAGGACTTTTTTGTTGTTGTTTTTTTGGATTTTTACTATTTTTTTTTCTTTTTTAGTAGAAGTGAACTTTTTTGCTATTGGTTAAGGTAAGTCTACAAATCGAGATGGTAGTTTTTTCAGATTTTACTAATTATTTTCTTCTTTTTATAGGGGTGGACTTTTCTTATTTATTGGCTAAGGTAAGTCTACAAATTAGAACTTTTTTGGTGATGTTTTTTTAGGTTTTTACTAATTTTTTCTTTCTTTAATAGGAGTGATTTTTTTTCTTATCAAATATAGCAAATAATTAAATTTAATAAATTTGTAACAATCAGAAGCTTATTATTTATAAATGTACTTTTCTTATAATTAAAGTATTATATTAATGAAAATCATATTAATAATAAAATTCTTTTTATTGTAGTTAATTGGAATTACTTACTTGTATAAATATTATATCTTTCCTCCAAATTCTTACGTAAATTTTCAATGATGCACACTTTAATAACTTTTTTTTATCTTTTTAAATCGGTTGATTCAAATTCAACTGAGTTGTGAATCTGATTATATAGATTTGAATGCTCAAAAAATAGAGGCAGACAGCTAGGTTTATCATATCGAACTACCTTTTGACTTACAGTAAGTTGTTTAAGTTTCTTTGCTTTACAATTTTGAACATATTTCGCATTTCTCTTTAATATGTTAATTTTATTCTTATTAAAACTAATTTTTGATTCAACTTCTTTTATTCTTATACATATATCATGTCAAAACTGAGTGTCAGTTGTGATATTGTAGATCTGTTTTAATTTAGCAAGATTTCTTCAGTTACTTTAATTTCCTCTGCTATCTTCTTTTAAGCTATTGCATTTTTAGGAATTTCTAGTAAAAGTTTAATCAGACTAATAATAGGAAAAGGAAAAATTGGTTTTATTATAGATTTAAGACGGTTTGCTCTTATCACTGGTATATATTATATAGGTAAATTGGAGTAGTGAAATATTCTTGAATTATATTATCAATTTCTACAGCACTTTTGCTTTTAATATCTTTTCATTTAATTGCTACTTTATGACAAACAATATCATGATTTGGAGTATTATTTTCAATTTTACCATAGTACTATATACATAAGTCAATGATGGGTTTTGGACACGTTTTTTAGTTTTAGACAAGGTTTTGGACATATGAAATTATATCCAAAACCTGTCTAAAACTACCTAAAATTGTCTAATTTCCCAATACTGACATAAGTATTAGTAAATTCCTGATATTTATTAGTTGGTGAATTATAAATTGGATTTTTATTGAATTTAGGACCAGTTAAAAAGGTTTGACGATTCATTTTTTATCAAATAAAAATAAACATGTTTTTGTAAAAGAAAAAATTATTATTTCTTTTTATAGTATAAAATGACGCAAAATAACGCAAAATATAATATTATCTTTTCATAGCTAATACAAACTCCGCAGTTAATATGTATTAAAATAGCAAAATTCTTGCAGCGAAATTTATTAAAACAGCAATGCTTCATCACTAAATTATTGAAAGATATACCTATATACAATTAAAATAATTCTTACTAGTTTATTACAAAAATTTCATTTTATTAAATATAATCAAAGACATTAAATTTGCGAAATGATATCATTGATAAGCTTTATATAACAATTCTAATATAAAGTCAATAATTTAAAGAAACTATTTAAATGATAATTTTATTAAATATTAAAAGTTTATGAGTATAAGCATACTGTGTTTTTAATAATTTTATATGACCATTGTCATGTGATTTGTTTTAATTATCTTACCTGAAGGTGAGAGGTTAAGCTTTATATCAAACTAATATTACGTAATAAATGTCACTACCCTAAATGGTTTATTAATAGTAACATTGAGTGGTTAGCATATACTCGTCAAGTCACTTAGGATAACTGCTAAATCAATATTACTATTATAGAATTTTTCTTTAACAAATTCTTCTAAATTGCTTCAAAAATAATCATAAATAAGCATTGTTGATGCTGTAGATTGATTATTATTAAAATAATCAATGTATTTTATCATCAGTTTTGTGTTCATCCATCTATTATCTTGGAACTAAACCTTTATATCAGATGGAATTTGCTCATCACAATTCATTCTTTTTCCTTTAAATATACATATTGGTGGCAATTTACTTCCATTTATATAAAAAGAATATTAAAATATTTTTAAAAAAAGATTATTTAAAAGACTTACTAGATATAATAATTCTTACCAGCAGAACAAGTAAGAATAACGGTTAACTAATTTTTTTCATTGCCAGTCCTACATATATGGACTGTTTTTTCACCTGTTTGATTAATAGTGAAATTACCAGTTATATTGAACTATATTGACGTCTTATTCATGTTGAAGATATTACATATTTCATAGGATTTTTCAATCCTAAGATGAATAACAAATCGATGAAAATTCTTCAATAATTCTTCAGTTTGATTTAGAAGTTACTGTCTGATTTTTGTGTATCATCTTAAAGAAAGTTTCTGCCTTTTCATAAATACATATAGCCAGTGATTTGACAGCCTAAAACTGTTTGTTAAATCAACATAAAAAGCTATAATATCTGGCTCTTTTATAATTTCTAACATTTTAACTCATATAATAGCATAGTTTATAGCTAAACTTACTTTTCTTTGATTAATTATCCAATTGTAAAGCTTTTTTTCAACTTTAGAATAAAAACCTTTCATTCAGAACCAATACTTTTGCTGTTTCTGCTTACTTCTGTCTATTTTTCACTTACTTTAACCCAGCGTTTAACCATATTTTTATTAAGATTGAAATGTGCTGTCACGTTATTTCTTTCATGTTTCTTAGCATAATTAACAACTTCTTCTTTCTATTCAATAGAATATGAAGGACGAGTACGTTTAGGAACTTTTGCTTTACTTTTACGCCTTTTAATAACCCATTTATGTTTTTGTGACATTGTTTATATTTGTGTATAGTAACTAGAACAAGTATGGAAAAGAATGATATAAATTTTATATAAATCACGAAAATCATGTAATTCTATGATTTTTGTGTTAGCGTAATAACAACAATTACATTGATTATCAATCATTATTGCAAGCAGCATATTTCATGAAGCCAATTTAAATTTACCTGAAAATAAGCATTCATATAGCAAAAAAGAAGTGCTTATTATCAGGACTATATGGTAATCTAATACACATTTCAAAAATACCAAAATATGCTCATTTTTCAATTTTTAGGATATTTTATTTTACAATTTATTGATCAAATAATGAATTTTGAAAAATTCTTTGCATATTTTAATAAATTATTTATTATTAATTAAAAAATAATAAAATTATAAAAGATCAGTTATTTTATAATTTTTTAAAAAAAAAAATAATCTATACTAATACTATTTCTATAAAATTCTCATAATTTACTAACATAATTATGTTATATTTAAGTTATTTAAACATGTTAAGATACTCATCAGCCCTTTTTTGGATTTGCTCTCGTTTTTATAATTTTTTTTATATTTTATTCATTATATTAAAAACTTTAAAGTTTCTAATATTAATAAATATATATTATATTAAATAAAAAAAAAAAATTTACGTTTAAAATAAAATAAATTACAAGATAATTACTATACAAATATTTTTTTATTTACTATTTTATTTAATTTTTTTTTTTTGAAGAGTATTTGTACAAATTTTTTATAAAACGCTAATTATAGGAATATAAATTAATTCTTGTAAATAAATAAAATAAAATAAAATAAAAAATAATAATATTTTTTTTAATTGAATCTCAAATCCAAAATTTACCTAAATATGATCATAAATATATATGTTTTTTTAAACTATATACATAATACATAGTAAGAAAAATGTATTATATTAAAATAATAGTTTGTCACTTAGTATTTAACTAAATTATCTAATAAATTAAAATTAAAACCAATAGCAAACAACTTATTTTTGATATCATTATTAAACACTGGATCATTTGTTACGCTAGTATTGAATTCGGGCAAAACATCAATCATTTCTTCGTCATTAATATATCTGATGCTATGGGTCTCAATTAAATGTTTTCTTACATTTCTATAAGAATATGATATTTTGAAGCCATAACTATGCTCTTTTGCAACACAATCTTTACATTTAAACTTATCATTCTCCCTGTAACCTCCAAGTACTGCACCTTGTACAGTTGTTGTTGGCCCGCTATTGTTCAATAAATATGTAGCTTCGCACCAAATTTGTGGCATTAAAGTTTTCATAAGATAATTTTCATCCCATAGATTATATGGATTTCCTTCATGAAAAGGCGGATTCCTATAAGATGGACACCAAGGCAAGTATTTTTCGATATTAAACCTATTTTCATCTTGTTGTATATTAATATTGGCATTCGAATCAAATGGCAAGTAATATGGATCATACAACATGAAATATTCATCCGTCGAAGATGACGGAGTTGTCATATCATATTCTAAAGAAAATTGTTCCATATCAACATCTTCCATTGGATCTGTGTAAAAATAATCCGAATAGATAGGTGCTGAATTGGATGTCGATGCATAATCAAAGGAAAAATTCGACGTATCGTGCGATATTAGGGAGTCGATGGACATTATGGAATTTGTATCTGTGTAAAGATAGTATTAATTTATTATATTGATTTTGATTTACGTTTTTTTTTTAAGAAAAAAAAAAGATAGATAGAAATGATAAATCTCACTTTTCTTACCTGTATAAGATGTGTTATTATCATTAGAATAAGAAAAATCGGAGATAGGATTTGGCATTGAAAAGTAAAGGGACATATTGGGTATAGACGTTATGTTGTCAATATTCATAGGAGTGTCTTCGGATGTTGAGATTAAGTTATCAATATTCATAGAAGCGTTATTTGAAGTTGAGGTTACGTCTTCAATCTTATCAGAAGTGATATCTGGTATTGAAGCTGCATTTTCAACTTTAATATGTGTAAAATCGGATAATGATGAGGTTGTATTTTCATTTTTTATTTGTGATAAGTTAGCCGTACTTTCAGATTTGATGGAAGGAGCTTCATTCGTCATAGTATTGTCAGCGGAAGTGGAAGTGGAAGCGGACGCTGAACTTGTTGACGCATTTACTGCAGTTGAAGTGGATGCAGCAGCAAACGCTAATTCGGCTGCACTAATTTCAATTTTTTCCATATTTTTCTCAGTTTCGGGATCAGGAATCCATTGTTTAGCTATTTCATAAATATCAAATTGTCTCATCTGGATGATGGTATCTTTTGGAAGATGTTTTTCTTTTTCAATGCGCCGTTGTCTCTTCTTTTCAGATAATTCATTATATTCTTTTATTAATTTCTTTTTCAACAAAGCCCAAGCACGATCCGTGAAAGGTTGTGGAGATTTAGTATTCATATACCTCGTGGAGTTCAAGTAAGCTTGGGTTTCCATGAGAGTTTCAGAATATTTGGCAATTCCATATTCATTTTTTTCTGATTTCATATCAGCAATTCTGGATTGAATTTGTGAAGCTCTCTCATTTCTCTTTATCGTATTTTCAAGCATTTTATTTCTTAATTCTTTATCAGTTTCCAATTTTCTCTTGACAGCTTCCTTCATTTTGGCATCACCTTCTTCTCTCTTTTTTCTAATCCATTCAATCCTAAGAGTATGAGGAACCTTTTGATATTCTTCATTAGCAGCTAAAAAATCCTTAGTCCAATAAAGGCTCGAAGGTCTATTCTTTGTTCCTCTGTCCCATGCCCTTCTATGCCAAGATGGAATGTAAGCCAATCCTGCCAACACATCATCAGCCTTTTCATTTAGAAAATAATCTTGTTTAATATCTTCTTTTCTGAAAAGATTTTATTTTTAAAATGTATATATATATATATATGTATATATTTATTTATTTATTAAGAAGTGAAATTAAAATAAATAATTTTACATCATATTGGATAGGTTACCTTAAGGTTTTTTTCTTTAAACAAACTTCGCAACAGCGGACAAGAAATTCCCAATAAACTTTCCGAATTTTTGTTTTTCCACAAAATTGGCATCCCCTTTCCAAAACCAATCTCACATATTGCCGCTCTGTCATACCATCTGGAGGTGGCAATTGTAAGTACGGCAAAAACATCTCTCTGGATGCTTTCCAAATTTCTTGAGTTGTCATCGAGGCTTCTGCACTCAAGAATCCATTAAATCTTTTACATGCTCGAGCTAAGGATAACAAGTCAACAGGAGGAAGGTTTTGACAAATGTTTATAAACATTTCTGGGGGAAGCGTGATAAATAAACATGGCCCTGTCGCTCGCTGCTTTCTATTTCCAGCGCCTTGAATATTCCTCCGGGCCATATTGTAATTTAATATCTTTACTGTTAGATATTTTTAACAAAAAAAAAAAAATGAAAATGAAAAAATGAAAAAAATTTTTTCTCCAACTTGCTAAAAGAGAGATAAATATTCAAAAAAATGAGAGGCTGCTTAAAAAAAAAAAAAAAAAAAAGGGAAAAAAAAAAAAGAATTCAGCTGGTGTTTATTTTTAAACTAAATCCTCTTTTAGGTATTTCCGAACTAATTGAGATTTGATTGATGTTGTATTAACGTTGCACCAGTTGAATAAAATTTTCGTACCGCAGTAGCTGTGATACGATAATAGATAGGGGTTGAATAGATATAAAATTTTGATAAAGAAATAAATAAAATAATAAAAATAACTGACATTAGGAGGAGAAACGGAGAACGTTTTTTTTAATTGCAGAACATGAAAGGAAATGCAAATGAGTTTTATTTATGCGTTATGTTAGCATATAAAGTCAAATGACCTTTCTATTTAATGGGGAGAACAAGATAGAGAAAATTTAACCATTTAACCACCATTCTAATCAATTCATGATGAAAAATTTCGATGATCAAAATAAAGACTCGTCACCAGAATTCAGGGTATATAATACAATAAATACTAATGAAACCAACTTCGGAAACAATTAGAAATTTCATTACAACCTTGGTTGTACAAAGGGCACCGCGTCGATAATTTTCGTGTAATTTGGACAGAAATCTTTTGATGCAAACAAAGTAGTCATATGACAAATAACAGTAACTATTTGTGAAGGTAATATAAACCTCTATAGGAACCGTCAATTGAATATCTATTATATCTATTGATAATCTACTCGAACCTGAACGCAGGATCACATGACACGACCTTATTTAAACCTTAATTCCATTTTTAAAATTTTTTTTCATCTTCTCAATAGGAATAAGTATTATATTGACTTTCCTTATCATAATCAAACTTATTTAGGAATTCTTTTAAAAGAGGTCGCGATTCGTTTTCGTAAAATCATGAAAATCAAAACTTAAGGTTCTTTTGTAAAATATCCTTATTTAAATGACCATTTTCGCTTGCATTCTTGCATTTACATATTAGTAGTTGAAAAGATTACCACAAAAATCTCGTTATCAACGTGAATCATATGGGCATTAGATGATTTTTCATCATTTCTTTGTTTCCTTCATTTTTTAACATGTGAATATTTCTCTTGAAATTTGTATATATCAATTTGTTGTGTCGCCATTTAAATTTCTTGTGTTCTGCGCATCGCATTCTTGGATTTTTGTTTCTCTTCTCACGCCAATAGCTACTATTTTTCCTGTATTTTTTTTTTTTCATCAAATGTTCAAATCAAGTATCCCAATAAAAGAAGCATGCGATTGGATGTTTGAACTAAACCCTAAATAACAAAAATATAAACATTAATAAATCCATATATATTTATCCTTTTATCGATAAAAATCAAAAAAATTTTTTTTTTTTTAAAAAAGAAAAAAAAGACCAAACAAACCAAACCTGATAATTTATAACCACAATTTGTGTATCGATTTTTTTCATTTGTGAATATTCGTAAGCGACCACGCAAGTTGTAAATCATTCGATTTACATTTTTTTTTATGAATTTCCATATTTATATACTCATTTACAAAGGAATTTTTATATTAAATATTTGTATTAATTTTTTTTTATTACAACCCTTTCCAACATGTCATATAAAATTTTTTGGGATTTCCATTCGTTGCCAAAAAATATTTAAGAAAAACTTGCTCCTTTGGTTCTAATAAATGAATAGTAATCCAAATCAATTTCTCAATATCATGCTTATTTAAATAATTAATTTCTTAAATATCTTACGTTGCATGATAGCTGTATCATAGTAATAATCCATAATGGCTTTCGCTTCATCTTTTGTATACTCCTTTACATCAAATCGTTGTAGTCCTGTTGTATACTGCCAGGTTGTGTTCGAAACCGGTTTCCATGATGATGCTTCAGATAATCCAAGTGCAATTTCTAAAGTTTTACTAATAAATGGTTTAAAATTATGCGATAAAGCTCCAATCGTTGCTCCATATGTCTATAAATAAGCAAACCACTTTTCAATAAAATGACAGAGTCAAAATTTTCAAACACTAGTGAGATGATCCCTTACGAAATCTTTTTTTCCAGAAAAGTATTCCAAGATAGTTCGAGGAAGTGATAATCTATTGACTTCCAACAACGAATCATCAACATCTCGATATTCAGAATTGGTGTAAAATGCGTTTACTTCATCAACTGCAAGCAGAACAGGATATTCCGAATTGTTTCCTATTTCTTCCATGAATATTTCAAAAACATCCTGCGCGGAATGAGGATCATTTATTCCTACATCCAGTAATTGAGAAACGGTCTTATCTCCTTCGATCGCATGACGATGTATTTTGTGGCTTCGTCTAAGTTTGATCTAATGTTATAATTAATTATCACGTTTTTATATAATAATCAATTTGAACTTAATTAATTTCGATTTCGCATACATTTCTCAGATAACGTTCGTTTACACGTTTGATCTGCTGTAGAATCAATACGGCTAGCGTGGGTTGTACAAATTCATTCGTTGATTCCACCTTTATATATGGATACGAACTATTTACATATTGGATGGCTATAAATTATTATAAGATGAATTAAAGAATATTGAAATAATATTGTTAATAATAATAACATTTATATATAATTGCTTACCATGTGGAATATAGATTACAATCCAGGGTTGACACATTGCATAACTGATAGCCTGCACAAGTAGCGCACTTTTGCCAACTCCCAACGATCCTGCTAATTTAAAACATTCAAATAAACGTGTCAAAAGGCTTTAAAGCGTCTCATTTTTTAAAATGTTAAAATGAACTCACATAAAATAAATCTATTCTTCGTACTAGGCGATGTGGATGCATTCTTAAGCAAACTTATTAATTCCACTGAAGATTGACGAACGACTAATGATGGGCGGTGAAATAACGCAAACTATAAAAAATTACCTCTTTATAAATATGTAAATGACATAAAATTTTAATTAACAAATAACTTAATTACCTCTTTAGATAATGATGTCGGGAATTTAAATACATTAAATTTTGGAACAACTTCTTCTGGAATTTGATAAACTTTACCAACATTTTCATGGGTGAAAACGTCCTATTTTAAGATTTGATAAATTCATGCCGTGTAACATTATTATTATTTTTTAACTATAAATCGATTAGATAATCTTACCGGAAGCATATCATTTAAAATAATAACAGGAGCAGATTTGTAAAACTCTTCACTGCCCTGTTCAGAACTACTTGCACTCGTAACCTCTCCCTCCTAATCATAAATCATAATTGAATATAAAAGATTAAATAATCTTTAGATAAAAAAAATAATAATAAATTTGTCAAATTTACCTCTGAAGATTCTTTCTTTGTTTTCTTTCGTTTAAATCCCAAAGCTTTTCCTTGCTTTTCCTTAGGCTTTTTTACTAGATAATAAATAAAAAATATAAATATATGCGATTAATTAAATTCAAAATTTTGGATGATTCCTACATTTTGGTCTTGCTGTTCCAGTTCTTTTTTGTTGAATAATCAAACTTGACGAAATTAAGGGTGGTCGAATAGCACTTAGTATTGGAGGGTCTAGAAAAGATCGTCTTGCATTCACTCTTGGGATAATTGAATTAATTTTTGGTAATATTTTTGTATATAATGATGACATAGTTCCAAGAATAAAAAATATCTCGAGAAAGAGATTTGAAATCGTGAAAAAATTTTTTTTTCGATTTTATATAAAATTAGCATTGCTTAAATTGGATAGATCTGGTTAAAATTACAGATAAACAAAAAAAAAAAAAAAGATAGATTTTCGTCGCCTGCAGGATTCGAACCTGCGCTCCCAAAGGGAAATGGCTTAGCAGGCCACCGCGTTAACCACTCCGCCAAAGCGACCAAATCATTATTAAAATTTGAGATAAAATTATATTTAAGTAAAAAAATATTTAAATCGTCCTTTTTTTTTAAAAAAAAATTATTGGAGCGGATTGACATGAAATATGCTTAGTAATTAAAGGAGTAAAATATTATTATTGAAGATACACGTAATAATAATGAAAATACCCATCATTATAAGTCATGAAATTTTTATAGAAAGTCTCAGTAATTAAATGTGATGACATAATAAAGTATAATGATCAAAACCTTTTTCTTATAAAGAGTACTAAATTTCTTCGTTTATAAATTTATTGTTGTTAATTTGTTCTTTAATATCTATCAAAATGGTTAAAGTAAAGAAAAAACAGGGCAAATCAATTAAAAAACCAAAAATCATTAACCAGTAATATTTTGTTATTTAATGTTTAATTGTATAATTATAATCCATTTTCGTCAACTGGTCTTTTTTTTTCTTCCTTTAGCCTTCAACGAACTTATTTACCACGTGCAGCAGAAGATCCTAACCGCAAGCATAAAATTGCAGATAAAGTCATAGATCATAAAAGCGAAGAGTTAAATATTTGGTATTTAATCCGATTTAAAGGTAATGTATAATTTTTTTTATAATTATTATTCTCCATGATATTTCACATGATTATTTCTCTTTGATATACTGTAGATATATCAAAACCACAATGGCTTCCAGAAACTAGTATTTCTGGATGCAACCAGCTTATCCAGGAATATTGGAAAAGAGAGAGTTCGATAAATCAAGATGATACAAATACTCATAATAATCAAGATACCGAATTTCATTATCGATCTAATAAATCAAAAGATTCTTCTTTGCAATCAAGTTCTCAGTTTCGTTACGAATTTGATGTTTTATCTCGTAATTCTGCTACATCTAGTAATACAATGAAGTCTAAACGTATTGATAAGGTAAACAATGTTAAATGTATTATTTCCAAACGAACTTGTAAACTTATGTAAATAAATCAAAAGTCGCAAGATAAAGTTGCCAAGAAACCAACCATAAACAAATCAACAAGTAATCCTGTACGTTATGAAAAAATTCGTCGAGAAAAACCTATAATCAGCAAAACTTTCGAAAATCGAAACGTTATTGAATCATGTAAGTAAATTAATTACTTTAACTTTAAATAAATATTACAAGATAAATTTCTCTATATGTAATTTTAATATCTTTATTATATTTTGAAATAGATCCTAATATTGCAACTTCTAAAGCGAATAAAGTTACTGAACTTATATTAACGAAGTAATAATTTTAATGATCCTTTGTAAATCAATCTATTAAAAAATATATTTATAATTGGTTTCATTTCATTCAAAAGAGGACAAAATAAAATTATGAATAAAAGCATGAGATCGGAAGATGCGGTGCAGCAACAACTAACATCGGATATTGAAAGAACTCAATCTAAATGTAAAGATGCCCTGAGGTTGACTCTTGACGAATTTTTTTCAGAAATAAGGACTGAAATGGGAATGCCACCAAAATCGCACACATTGCCTTCCATGCAACTTCATTCTGCCGATAATAATGGTGAGAAAATTTTTAACCAACACAAAAAAATTTTATCAATTTATTTTTATAACATTTGAATATTGTTCTATTCGTAGGGGGAAGTCCAATCAAGTAAATACATTTAAACCCTTTTTTTTATTTGTTAATGTGAATGTATACTTAATATGTATGTATTTATATAAAATAGATATATAAAATGGACGGGTAATATAATTAAAGGATCATTAGTCCTTTTCGTTGCTTCAGTAAATGTCACGCCATTTCCAGGGAGATGCAACAATATATCAACATTGTAAGTTATATTATTGATTACAATAATTTTGTCAATTTAATTGAATAATCTTTAATTATAAATATTTAAAATACGAACGAAATTTAGGAAAAAAATTGCAGATGAAAATGTACCAAAGCTTTGCATTCAACATTCTTTGCCTCTTTCATATGCATTAAACCTAATTAAAGACAAGGACTATTCTAAATGTCCGATGTTTGAAATAAAACCGTTGCAAATTTCAAAATCAAGACGCAACATTTTAGTGGAAAGAACAATAATGATGCGAAGTAAAATTGTAAGTTTTTTTTTTGGTTTGTATTAAGAAAAGTCCCCATGAAAGAGGAATTCCGGAATCTGTTTGCAGGAGTCCGGAACATCCGAAATCTTTCACATTCGGCACAAATTCTAAACATCAGAAGCTTTCACATTTTGGCACATTCATAATTTTAATTTACTTTTATCTACAGGCTGGAGTAATTTGGATCGAAGAATATAAATCAGCATGGATCATTTTTCCTTATCATGAAAAAATCTGTAGCATTTTATCGTTACCAGACAAGAAAGAATTGAGACTGTTTGCGGTCTCGATCTTTATACCGTCGATATATGATTCTATAACGTTAAATTCTATAACGTTAAACAATGAAATCTCAAAATGCACAATATTACCTTATGAAAAATTTTCAGTGAAAGAAATAATTAAAATCAAGATCTTCCTTCATCAAACCGAATATTATTCTGACTTACGAGAAATATGTAGAGGTCGAATCCATTTCACATATTTTGGTAATAAAGAATTTTCAGAAGTTCAAGAATTGCTTTTGGCTATGAAAATTTTGGGAGCAATTCATGAGGAAAATTATAACGAAAATATTTCATTGGTTTTGGTGAGTAAGTTATTTTTTATACTCACTTCGAAATGATTTATTAATTATTTCATTTTCAAAATAGGTTCACGTTTTCTTTTTGAGACAATTACTTTTCATGCGCAACTTTATGGATTTTAAAAGACTTCCGAATTGCAGATTTCTTCTATTCGGAGTTGATTTAAAGGGATCACCTGAACCCATCTGTTTCAAAGAACATTTGCCAAATGGTATTTCAAAAAAATTTTGAAAATTTTGAAAATTTTCAAACCTTTATTTTTAACTCAAATATAGGAGGAATGATATCGGCGACCACGTTTACATTTCTACAGGAGGAGCAAGTTTCTAACAGGATCATAAATGTCATCGACCATGTAATATTCTGTCTAGTCGATTATTCGTTTATCCATACATATCATTAATTTATTTTATGTTTATTTAGCAAGATAATCCTTGGGATTATTTGTTATATATGAATGTCATGGATAATCTAGCGGACATAGGTCAAAATCAAAACAATCAATGGTAAATGATGAAAATCGTTTTTATGTCTCGACCACTCAAATTTAAACCTTACATTTGTACATTAGTGCACTTCAAGCTTGGTATGAGGCTATGACTGCTATTGGTATGAAAAAGGCAAGATATATCAGGAGAGAAGAAATGTTTATGCCTGAAAAGGTTTAATTAATTAATTTTAAGTTGGATTTATTTATCAATTCGATTTGTTAAAAATGTATTATTATTTTCTAGGTTCCTGAGGAGCCTCCACCGATGATTTCTAGCTTAGCTAGAACAATGTTGAGGATTCACACCATGTATGCTTCTGAGAGAAGACATTTTATATTAATTCGGCATCCAAAAGAGGAAGAATTTTCGAATGTGTCGATTCCTGGAGTAAGCATAGTATTTGTAAATTGTCACCCCTTTTTTTTGAGAAACTTTTAACTTACTTTGTAATAATTACAAGGTTTGGAAAATGTCACTTCAGGAATTTGAACAGAATTTCGGAACGACTATGTAAATTAAGTTTTTACAAAAAAGATTTCGCTGAGATATTGTATGAAAGATAAATTTTTTGGTCATAATGATGCTATACACTATAGTAAATGTATTAATTTGTTTAGAGCATTGCTAAATATACTAATTGTATGATTATCATTATTTTGGCTTATGGGAAAAATCAAGGGTATATTACTTATACCCATGTTATTATATGTTTAAAATTTTTTTGGGATGATATTACTGAAATAAATTAAGTAAGATCTGTAATAAAAGTTGCAATCATATGAAATTACCCCTGGATAACATGGATAACAGGTGTCCATTTTCAACCTAATTAACTTAATTACGTATTGCTTAATCACGTGCACAAACAGCCGAACCATATAAATACTGTATCAAAGAAATCATAGTTACATAACAAAGATACAAATTTTTCTTTACAATAAAATGCCTACATTTGCAACATATTCGTTAATAACTTTGTTATTTACTATTTCTTATACATTTACTTTACTGGCTTTATTCTTGCCAAATTGGTAAAAAAATATTCCTATATTAATGTTTGTTTTAAATCATACGTGAATTTCTTTAAAATTATTCTCTTTAGGTTACTTTTTTCAACTTCAAAACCATTTCGCACATATAACAACATTGGGTTATTTAAGGTAGACGTAAATTTTTTACGATATCGACACAAAATAATACCTAACTTTATTTAATACCAAATTTTCATTATAGCGATGTTCTAATACGATATTATATGATTCATGTCGGCCGTTTCCGTCATCAGAATACAACGATTGTGAAGAAAATTTTTTTTGTGAAGAATGGGGATTAGCAGGAGTAACGATGATATTAGCAGCGATTGTAGGAGGTTTAACATGGTTAAACTTTATTATGATTTTATTAGGAGGAAGATTAAGAAGAGAGAAAGCATGGAAAAATTCTTCAGGATTGCTACTTTTACAAGGTTAATATCTTATGAATTTGTTTTCTATTTTATTTATTTTATTTTATTTTTACAAAATTTATTTAAATGTATAATTAATCTTTCTTTTTCTTTGATCTTATATACACTATTTAGCATTATTGCAATTTATTACAATATTTTTAATTGCTCATGTTTATACAACATCGGAAAAATTTATTTTTGGATTCAAATATGATTATAGTTTTATATTTGCAAATGTTTCAGCATGTTTTGGTGTTCTTTTATCGCTTACATTATTTACGAATGGATTGTTTTCACCACCTGAATATTTTTCTTTTTAGAACGAGTCATCGTTCATGAACATTTTTTAGATTATTACTATAATATCAAACGTTGTACGTATATCAAACAAACACTTTATATGTATATGTATATTAACAATAAATTCCGGATTTTGATTAATCTTCCAATAAGTAGATCATTGCTTTTTATTAAAATTGAAGATACGTGTTTAAATTTTTAAACCAAAAAAAGAACTCGCCTTTTTTTATTTGGTATTAGAGTACCTTGGATGTAAAGACATGGATTTTTTTTTTTAAAAGTATCCGAATGCTTCAATACGTAAATTTGAACGGTGAACTGGGGGATTTTGTAAAACCGAAACCAGGAAGATGTCTGTTAACATTCTTAGGAATATGAAAAGATAAAGGGTATGCTACATCGTGCAAGGAAGAGCGTCTAATCAATTTAGTGCCGTATCTTGCTTTGATTAAGGTCAGCCCGGATTCTGGAGTAATACGCTACGCTTATTATTTTAGGGGATTAAAATCCACGTTTTAATAACAATATTACTAGTGTTGGTTTAGGACACATTTTTTGATTTATAATATTTTGGAAAAGGTTTTGGACATTGAAAAAAGTGTCCCAAAAACCTGTCCAAAATTGTCCAATAGACCGTGCGAGTTTCGACCGTTTTAGTTACTCCCTGTTGTAAATTTCGACAATAATTTTTCCGAATATTAACTATAACGATACCGCCCAATGAACTGCTTCGTGATTTTACATTTATATTGCGAGTATTTTATCTCCTCGAACGATTAAATCGAGAATGCCAGCTTACATATTTTCATTTGTATCACCGCAATATCGTAATTTTAATGCGCGTGTGAAAATTTTCCAAGTGTGAAATTCTGAATCGAGATATTTTTTTATTTTTTTTTCAAGGCATATACTATATATACACATTACGTCGCAAAAATAAACCTATTAATTTTTAATCATTTTTGATGAAATTCTCACAATCACACTTGCATATTTAATCTTTATTTCTTCATCAGGATCGATACTATTTATTTTTAAAAAATTTATTAGTTTTAAATTGTTAATTAATTGATTACAATTTTGCTAAATTAATAAACTTACTTTTAGGTAATTCTAATTAATGTTAATTCAATTTTATTTTCTGAATAAATAATCACTCTTCTTAAATAAATTCCTGAATCTTCAAATGGTTCATGTTGATATGTGATATAAATTAATTTTGTGTTATTAATGCTTAAATTTATATTAAGATTTTTAAGACAAGTAACTAAAAAATCTACGATTAATACATGACTTTATTCTACCAAAAAAAGAATATAATAAAGACAATTAATATTAATGTAAATATAACTAATATAATATTTATTTTTATTTTTAAAAATATTATATTGTGGTTACGATAATAGATATTGTGATTGAGAAGGTAGTTGTAATGATTGATTTCTTGAAAATATTTTACTTGCATTCTAAAATAAATCAATTTTTAATAGACAGTAATAATTTTATTAATTTATATTTTATCAATATAGTAATAGCTTACAGAACACTTATCATTATTATTAGTTTTTGATCAGGACTTTCTAAATTTAAATATTTTATTTTTAGGTCTGGTAATATCTTAACCATTCATATGGTTATAAAATCTATTCCTATCCTCTTCATTATTAAAGTGAACAAATCCATAACTAAATATAACAAATTTTCATTTAATTAGAAATTAAAATTGATTACAAAAATATTAATTATTTTATTTTATTTACCTATAATCATTATTTTTTCTTACATATGTAAAGTTAAAAACAAAGGAATTATTTAACCATTCATTGATTTCACTTCTTTAAGATTTCTTACAGTTTTTAATTTAAAAAATATTAATAATTTGTAATCATAATATCAAAAGTTTTTACTTTTACCTATATTATTATTATATAAAATTAAAAATATAAAATAAATATTTAAATACTTTACAAATTCTATTGTATTTTTTGAAAGTTTAGATTATTATGTAGGTAGTCTTGAAGATAATACAATATAAACTAATTCCAGATAAACAAATTAGTGGTTTTTTATCATCTGATCTAGAATTTGTTTATTTTTAGATAAAAAATAAAAATAAAAAAATTTTATGAGATAATACAATTATGAAAAATATACATAAATTTACAACCATTAATCCAATTATAATAAAATTTTATATGCATATATTTTCGAACCTGCTGAATAACTTTACATACATGACCAAAGTTGATTTCCTTAACCAAAATGCTTAAATTGCTTTTTGAAGTTACTGTACAGATAAAAAATAAAAATAAAAAAATTCATGAGATATTACAATTATGAAAAATATAAATAATATTACAACTATTAATTCAATTATAATGAAAATTAATATTCACATATTTTCAAATTTGCTGAACATTACTTAGGACTTAAAAGTCGATTTTCTTTGATTAAAGTGTTCAAAAAATGTTTATAATTTAAAATTTAAACTTTTTTTAATTATAATAAATTCCTAGTAATTTATAATAACAAATTTATTAGAATATGAAAGTAAGTGATAAATAAAAATTAAAAAAAAAATAGCTGCAAAAAAAATAATTTTTTAATAATTTAAAAAAAAATATTGATCTACATTATGTATAATAAAGTACAGTTACATAATAATTTATCCCTTTCTATTGCAATATTGCAATAAAAAGGGGAAAACTGCTGGATAAACTATTTTTTCAAATCTGAATATTTAAGGAGATCACATGTTCTATTTTTATTACACGTTACATAATTTGTTTATTTACTAAATTTCTATTTATCTCAAAAACTAATATTATACTATTTTCCCCTTTCTATTGCAAAGGTCCCATATTATAATTTTTAAAAATAAAGATTTATTTATATTATTTAAATTTGTGAATTTAAATCTAAAAAGAAATATATTAAAATTCTTTAAATTTATAGATTATAAAGAATAATCTTAATTAATTAAAAATAAAATGATTGTAATAAATTTAACAAAAAGATTTATATTTAATAAAAATATATAATACATATATATTAAATATCTTAATATATTATTTTTTTATTTTATTTTTTTAAATATTTAGAAAGTTTGCTATAAAAATTAAATTCTAAGAATTTTAATTAAAGTTAAATCTTATTACATTTTAGAGTTTTACAATTTATCATAATATTTTATCATTAGTATACTATATTATGTGATATCGCAAATATTATATAATTTTTTTATACAATTTTATATAAATACTGATTACTGGTAATACAATTTATAAGTATATTAATTATTATAATATATTATAAACAAATAAAATAAATGCAATACTTTCTAATATTCATTTATAAACTAACTTTTGCAGTTTTTTGATAATAACTAGTATTTTTACATATTTATATTGACATTAATGCTTTATTTTTATTTTAGGATTTATAAGCTGATTTAAATTTTTTTATTATATTAGATAACTTTTACTATAATGAGACTTTTGATTTTTTAAATAAATCTTTCATATTCTTCTTTAAATATAAATTTTCTTTCTGAATATAGGAGTGTTTCCATTAAAATCACATTATAGATTATATGATTTATTATATCTTATGACTTGATTTTACTGGAAATGTTCCTATATAGTAATATCTTCATCAAATAGGATTGTATTATTAAAATCTGTATATATAGACAATTAAAGATGATATAACAATTAATTTTAAATTAATAATTTATTGCAATATAAACTAAAATTAGTTGCAGCCTATTTAAGTTAAAACTAATTACAATATATAAAGCCTTTACAATAAAAAGGGAAAAACTGCTAGAGAAATCAAATTTTACTTTTATATTCAAATTTAGCATTAACTCATTTTTTATTTTTCTAGCAGTTTCCTTTCTTTTTATTGCAAAAGTCTCATCTTATCTATTACAATATTAGAAGTTATAATATATTAATCACAGTTCTTATCTTTATCGATAATAAACAAAAGTTGTTAAAGTATAAGATAATCAAAAACTATACAAAAATATAATCAATTTCAGCAGCTTATATTATTGAATAGACAATCTGTTTTTGTATAACAATCATCACATCTCCTTTCTCTCAGCCTAATAGATTATTTTATAATCATACTAATAGCTAACTCTAATTCTAATTCTAATCCTAACTAACTCTAAATCTAATTCTAAATTTTAATGCTATTCTAAAAATCTAAACACTACTTTTATTTTAAATGAACATTAAAAAGAAAAAACAACTTTGAGTAAGTCAGAAGAGATATCAATATATAAGAATCATTATTATCAGTAAATTCATTTTGTTTATAATACATTTATATAAAATATGAATACAAGTATTAGTGTTTACATTTAGTAAATGAAATTTATAAGAATTGTGAATAGTCTGCTATTGTAAAAAGTTGAAAATTACTTAGTAAAGTTTAGTTTTATAATGTGAAAAGAATAGTAAAGTTAGTTTTATAATATCAAAAAAAAGAAAAGAAAAATATTATTAAAGAAAATAAAGAAAAATATGAAAAATTTTAAATGATAATAATTATGATTCATAAATAATCATTTTTATTAATAATGATTCAAATTATATGATAACAATAAATCTAGGCTAGCAACAAATTGCATATATAATAAATTATTAAAATTTAAAATTAAAAAATATATAATAAAAATCAAAAAAATTTCTAAAACTTATTTTTTTAACAA